TGATTGGCCACTAAACATTCAATGCCACATGAAAGAGTGACTGGGTTATTATTGTTTATGTTAGCAATGCTATTGGTATGTCAGTAATGCAGTGTTCTTCAATTTAGCAGCTAAGCATAGTCTATAAGTGTCTTGTCTATGCTTCATTCTTCCTCTGCTCATTTTTTGCTTGCTCCGCCCCATTCTTCTGAGAATTGCTCTGAAATCACTTTCCTGTACTTATGAAAGCTGGTCAGAAACTAATGGTTCATGTTTGAAATAATTATTTCCATAGCTTTAGCAACTATTTTAATGTCTGATTTTGCTGGTTACTGATAAACTCACACTACTCCCTTGTAAAGCATTTATGATTAAAAATCATAAAACAAGCGATATTCTAATTATCTTTTATTTTCTATTTACCAGCTTTACTACCTTTTATTTACTACTTATTTGGGGATGGGACTTTATATTTATATGTACTGCCATAGTTTTAAAAACAGAAAATATTTCAAACTCACTTTGTTAGTCTGCAGATTATAGAAAAGCTATCAGCACATTAAGGTTTTGATAAGTTGTGCTATGTATATGTGGTAGATTTTTGTCTTCCTAACTCAGGGAATATAAACATGATAACGGAATATGCTTCCTGCTATGAAGTACAAAATTCTTTGTGCGAATTATACATAAATGGAAATGCATAAAATATCCATGGTATGCTATTTACCCATTTTTATAAGACAAGGGAATACTTGTAGACACCAATATTATGTTTGGCCACCAGAGGTCTCTTTTTCTCTTTTGCTGAAAACTACATATAGATAAAATAACTTCACTGTACACCAAAAGAGAGATTATCTGTAAACTATATATGTTTGGAGAGAGAATTTTGTTGTGGCAGGCATCTTTGATTAAATGGCTTGCTTTGTTGCCTGGACAAATGCCTGTTTGAGGACTCCTTAGCCAGAATTCAATTTTTTTTCACATATAAAGAAACCACCTATACAACTGTCACCAAATTATAGTTCTCCTGGGTACTCAAATTGTCCCACTATGAACATAATGCAAAAACGTAGGCCTCTGAAAAAGGACCTAATGCTGGAAAAGGTAGAACTAAAGAGAAGGACCAGCAGCAGCAAAGGAGATGAATCAATTACAGTGGCAATGAATGGATTTTAGAAGATCTGAAGACTATATTGTCTCCTGGATCACTCTGGAAAATCCTATGTAGTCACTGAGAGTCAGCACCAACTTGATGGCACATAATCACTAGCAACTATATTGTTATTTCTGTTGTTTGTTCAATCAGTTATCCTTTCCATAAGGAAATTGTTCCTTCTTTAAAGCGTAATCTTGGAATATATTTTATAAAATATTCAGCCTATATTATGTAATATTTTAAGTACACATATAAAGAAATTCAGTTTAACTTAACAATTGATCTACCAAAACAGTTGTATTAGTAGACTGGAAGTCTAAAAATAATAGAAAATTGTGTGACTGCTTTTGAAAAAAAGGGTTTTCTATTTATACATTTTAAAGTAAGAATTGTTGCATTGTAAAATGCTGTTTAGTAATGCAAGAGAATCCTTTCGTAGCAAGCTAAATTCTCCTTGTTACAGGGTTAGTGGCACCATTGAAAGACCAAGTTAGGGACAGATCATCATGGAGAAAATTTAGATGGTTGCTAAGAGTCAACACTGACTTGATGGCACATAATCAATAATTCTTTTCAGAAGGTCTTTGTAATTCAGTGATTCAGAAAACAATTCCGTGGTATTGTTTTTAAATTGGAAAATGATGTGCTTTCAAATATTCATTACATTTATTAGTAATCCATCTAAATATTTGTTACAATGTTACTAATTGAGAAAGAAAAAAAACTGGCAATCCAAGAGAGAATTAATTAGTAAGGATTTGCAAAGCATTCAAAAGAAGCACTTCACAGTTTTTGTTCATATAAACTATGCACTACATCTTGAAGCATTAAAGTTGTCATCACTTCAGAAGGATGGTAAAGCCACTTCAGAGGCTGTTGCTGGCTATGTATTTGTGTTTGTGCATGCATAACTACTTCATTGGTAATCCAACCAGAAATATTGCCTTTGCAAAATAGAAATAATCTTCAAAGTAGCCATGTAAGTGTCCCAAAGAACATTACTGATTTAATGCAATAGAGACATTGTTCTACTCATAGATTAGAAAGCACTTCTTTCAACTACATTGCATACCCTATTGAGTTTTAAATATTGTTAATTCTTAACTTCTCCACTTATTTCAACATCTCCCATATGTGAGCTGAGTCTATTCTTTTGTTCAAATTCATCATGCAACTCAACATACTTTATTACAATGTTAATTAATATAAATCTAAATAGGTAGTGGTACCAAATTTTTTCCTCTAAAATTGACTAAAGGTTAGAAACCTGCAAATGATTCCAGTAGCTAAAGATGTCCAAGTAGCTGGAAGTCATGTATCCATTCCAGTATGGAATGATGCTACTCTAATGACTGGTGTCATTCTTAATTAAAATGAAACTGGCAGGAGGTAGAGAATGACACCCATGCAAGTCACTGATAACAGCATTAAGAGATTAACTGATTCTTGAAGCCACAGAAAGATTTAAATTTTAGTGGAGTGCCAATTTTGTAATCCAGTCTAATTCTGTAGATATCTACTCACAAGAAAACTACCCTAATTTATTTATAAGAAATTATTAATAATAATTAATATCTGAATGTCTGGCATGGTTGAGATATCATCATATGTAAAAAACAAAGTCCATTTTTTCCATCTGCTTACCTATCAAACCTAAAAGAAAAACCTCCAGTTCAGTGATACATTTACTCTTAAGAATTCTCTGAATTAAAGTACATATCTGATTGCAATAACTATTAGCCTTCTTATATAGCCACAAAAGGTGATGAAAAAAATGGCTTCAGAGAGGTTACATTGCCAACATGTTTAACATACCAGTTATACTTCTTCGATGATGTATCAATATACATCACCTTGTAAAAATTCTCTTTAAATTATAACTCAGTGAATTTCAGGTCCTTCTATATAACCTCCCACTGATTTAGCATTATATTTTATCCCCAAAAACCTTGCCCACTTAGTCATAAAATCTTTAACATTGATCGTATATATTCAATAAATGTTTATACATCTTGGCAACAAGATGCTCATTGTTAGTATACTAATCCAGTTCAAATTAAGTTTTCTCATTTATAAAACCAAAATTCTTATCTGAATTACATCTTTCTAACAGTTTAACATAAACAAACAATTAACAATTAAAATCCTCCTTTTCCAGTTGCTCCCTGTTTTTTTTTTATTTAAAGTCTCCTTCAAAAAGTCAATAAATCTGCTTAAGTCAACTAAATTTGTATAAAGTTTATTGGAGTGACAATCATAGAGGAATTTTGGAAGGCAATCTCATTATTCCAAACATTCAGTATGGCATGAAAACATTAACTCTATTATGGTTAATCTCTATTAACTATTATGGTTTGTCATATGATAGATAGGCGTGACACTCAAATTTCGAACCATATCCTTTCATATCCAGTAACCTTCTATTTTTTCAAAGTGATACAGTCTTTCATGTGTATCAAACTTCAAGCAGGAAAATACAATTGTAAATTATATAAGCCTAACCTTATCTCTTTTTTTTTATATCTTGCAACAATTTATGTTTAATTTTCCCCCTCGCTATAAAAACATTTAAATAGGTTGTTATTGATATTGATGACAGCAAAAAGTACTGATATTGATGTCTGCAAAAAGATCATAGTTACTGAAAGAAATCTGTTTTAGTAGGTGCAAGTTATGTATATGTGTGATATTGGATTTTCTTCCCTTCGACTGTATCCGACTTTCAGAGACTGCCTGGACAAGTCCGTGCATTTTCCTTACCAAGATTTCAGAAGTGGTTTGCCATTGCCTGCTTTCTAGGGCTGAGAGAAAATGACTAGCCCACAGTCACCCTTTTGGCTTTGTGCTTAAGGCTGGACCCGAACTCCAGGTCTCCTGGTTTCTAGCCTGATACTTTAATCACAATCCAAAGGTGAATTGTGAAATATAGTAGTAGTTCAAAGGGAGAGAAACCATCAAAAGTTTTGATGTGCATTTAAACAGGAAGCCTTAATTTCCCCTCCAAACAAGTAAGTCAATGTTCTAGAATCTTGAACTTGAAATATTCTAGATCACAATGTGCAAAATGGTGAGGATTCCTGTATGTTTAGCTGAATAGATTTCTTTAGACAGCAATAGATAAAAGACTCATTGTGATAGCTTCATCAATATAATATTGCTATGGTATACTTGAGGCAGACTATGTAAGTTGCTAAATCAAGCCAAATATATATATACTGTATATACTACAATATTACTACAGTCTTTTGCAAATTGGTACCAACCAAGTAAATTGAGTTCCTCAGAATTATCAGCCAACAGCATATCAATCAGCCATGCTCAGCGGGAATTCTGAAATAAGTTGTCCCAATATATCAGCTGCAATAAACAAAGTAATTTTTTGTATTCTACTTTCTGTGAGCAAAAGCAAAATTAAAAAAAATATACTTAACTATTTATTCAACGTGTAATTTCTTATTTTTAATCTTTTAATGTTTCCTAACAGAGAGCTTGCCTACTTATATCATTTTATGAGCATTGTTATAAAATACATATACTATAATTTACCATTCGTTCCAAAATAATAAATAAAATTTCAGAGAAAAGGTTATTGTTTTCTAATATATATTTACAAGCATGCATAATTACAAAATTGACGTGTTCAGCTGTTGAATTTGAGTGCCCTATGTATTAGATGAAGAATTCAACAGATTGAAGTAATATCGTATTACTTCTTACATAGGTATCAATCCATTGAATCACTAGGTTTTACTTGCAAATAGATATTTAGAGGAGGTTATTTTATGTAAGAGATGTACATGGTGAACCTAGAAGAAATAGTGATTTAATAATGTACATTTGCTTACTGAAGATCTCTCTTCAGTCCCTTTAGCACATGGAATCCTTCACAGATACTACTGTACATTGCCGTTCTGGATGAGTGGAAGGTAAATGTTTTTTTTTTTAATGACGTTCTATTATAGAAGTCAACATATTTACTTAAAATCTGTAGAGATTCTCAGTCATCCAGGTCATGGTTGTCCCAAAGGTGCTTTTTCAGGAGGCAATTACTTCCTTGTTTTTCTTTTGAATTCATTTCGATCCCTCACTATCCTGTCAGAGCTGAAGAAGCTTCTTGGATGAGAAGCGAAACATTTTCAAAAGAAAAACAAAGGCCAATTGCCTCCTGAAAAAGCACCTTTGGGACAACATATTTATTTGTTACAAAGTAAGCATATATCACCTCATATGTTTTTATTCCACTTTTTAAACTATTTGTCTGTACATTGCTTACAACTAAACTTCTGAAAAAAAATGAAAAAGGATATCTGGCAGGGAGACAACTCAGTTATTTAGAAAACTAAACCTTATGGCAGGCAGTAATACCTTTAAGGTGATGCTTCTCAAACCTTTATCTTCAATACCCAAAACTGCATATCAGAATGTCTTATTTTACCCAATATAAGTAAAACTTTTTAAGTCAATTTAAATGTCCGTTGTGATAGGTTTGTATGCTTTTACCCAAAGAAAAAAACATTTTACCTAATTTGGGGTAATTTACCTAGGTTTAGGGAAAACTTTTTAGGCTAACAAACATAAAGTTTCATAATACATTTTAGCATATAGATTTTTCTCCTTCCAATTTGCATGAGACTTCTCTTTTTAGAGTCACACATAAACACATATATACATAGTTCTTAAGGTTTTGACCTAGAAATAAGAGACTGAGTTGTAACTCTGTTAGTGTGAAAGCTGACTGGGTGACTTTGGTCAGTTACTCTCTCTCAGCTCAACTTATCTCATAGGGCTGTTTTGAGGAAAATAGGAAGAGGATGGAACAGTATGTATGTTCAATGCCTGCAATTATTATAAAGTAATAACAACAGGATAAAATAATGTAGTCTTCATTGGTTCCATGGCATTCAGTCATCCTTGAATCTTCCAAATACATCAAAATGTAATTATCATCCTAACCAATTAGACTATGCTAGAAACTCTAGCCTAATTTAAGGCAGCCTGGAAATCAACAGGCTGCCATAATTGAAGTGTCAAATCAAATGTATTTATTTGGGTAAAAACATGTATTATATTTTATGAAGAGGTGGCAACTTTATCCAACTTCATCTCATGTACAAGTTGTGTTCTTTCCTAAATTGGGAAGCCCTTCAGACAGTCACTCATTCCCTAGTCAGTCACAGTTTAACTAACACAATGCGCTCTGTCCTGGACTGCCCCCGAAGGCCATTTGGAATCTTCCACTGGGCCAGGACACAACATTGCTTCTGAATAGGTAGTGGTGGGCATAGTATGGCCATGTGGCACCTTTGCTCTGTGAGTTGCACTGACTGTCCAGTCCACCAGTGTGAGGTGGCAGGGTTGATGATCTTTTCAACTCGAAAGCGTTAGCTTTCAGGCAGTCTCTGTCAGAAGTTCATTTGAAAATCTCTGTACCTCTGACTCTGGCATTCTGAATGGCTTTAAAGACCTATCTGTTCTTCCAAGCTTTAACTTAGGTGGGATCTCTTATTTAATGTGCTTTTTGGTATTATTGCCAAACCATCTTCTTGTTCTTTTTCTCTTTTTTTTTTTTTGTTCTTATTTTTCTTTATTTTGTCATATTGATTTTTTGTTGTTATATTGTAAGTCAGCCAGAGCTGTCTGAAGTTGGGCAATGCGTAAAATGGATTTAATTTAACTTACAATTCCTTAGTATTTTTGTGTAAGTGCTTAAAGAAATCTTGGATGGTAGAAGTAAGATAGTTGAATTATGAGAAATAATCTCTCAATCTTGAAAAAGTAAGTCAAATATGATTATTTCAAAAGCCAAACTGCAGCTTTACTTAAGAAATTCTGATCTTATAAAATATCATCACTAATATTGCCAACTGAAATCCTAGATTCAATTGCGTATGTATATAGTATATGTGTACTATTTAGAATTAGATAAAATTGATTCAATCTTTATTTTTAAGTAGATTTTTCACGTTACATCTAGTACAACTAAAAGTATGTATAATTCAGTCCATTCAGTTCCGAATAACCTCCTATTAATTGAGAAGAATTTACTTTTATGTGCATATGTTAGGATTCTAGCATCATCATTTTAGGCAATTTAAGATACTAATCATTCAGTCTAATTTTTTAACAATGCTAAATTAATTGACAATATCCTAGCAAATTATCATGTAATGAAATAAATTCACAAGATTACTGCTCACTTTTGGAGTGAAATAAGGCTGCATATTCTCCCCTTATTTATTCAACCTTTATGCAGAAAACATAATGAAAACTGGATTTGAAGATGACAACTATGGCTTTAAAAGTGAAAAAAGAAATCTACTCTAGTAAGAAAGTCAAGAAATAGAATGAAAAAATGTAATTCAGATTAAATATAGAATATATCAAACTGATTATAAATGATACAACTGTTCTTATAATTGACATGAAGATATTGAAGGTAGATAGTTTTTGCCTTTTAGAATCAAGTAACAACAGAAAACAGTTGTAAATCAAGAAATAAACCCCAGATTAGCACTTAGAGTAGCCATGAAGCCCTTGGAAAAGTTTTTCAGATGCCTGTACACTTATAAACCTACAAAGATTAGAATGGTACAGGCCACTGGTGGGATTCAATTTTTTTACTACCAGTTCTGTGGGCGTGTCTTGGTGGGTGTGGCATGACTTCATGGGCGTGGCAGGGGAAGGATACTGTATTCCCACCCCACTCCAAGGGAAGGTTACTACAAAATCCTCTTCCCTCTAGATCAGCTGGGACTCAGGAAGCAGAGAATAGATGGGGGCAGGGCCAGTCAGAGGGGGTATTTACCGGTTCTCCAAACTACTCAAAATTTCCGCTACTGGTTCTCCAGAACTGTTCAGAACCTGTTGAATACCACCTCTGATACACCAATAGTTTCCCTGTAACATTTTTTGTATATGAAAATTGACTTTTTGGGAAAGCAGTTGGATCAGTATTGAAGCTTTTGAACTTTGAGTTTTGGAGAAACTCCTTGAGATTGCCATGAATATCCAAGAAAAAACACAAACAGTTCATCCCAAAAAAAAAAAAAAAACCCTAAAGTTCTTACTTGAAGCACAAGTGAACAAGTTTAATTTGTCCTGCTTTGGACACATTACAATGACTTTGTTCTTTGGAGAAGTCTACAATGGTGAATGGGAAAGGTGAAAGGAAAGGAAAAAAGATGATGAGCAGGAATTTATTTGGACTCAATTGCAACAGTGATAGGTGCACCTTTTGAAAGCCTGATGGACCAGATTGAGAACATATCTCAATCAAATGTCTGTGTGATTGCTAAGGGTCAAAACTGGCCTGATCAATCATAATCATCAAAATGCACACTTTGGAAAAGACTAGGAATACACATTTCAAACATTACATGAGCATAGCTCTTACCTGTCAGGGTTCCAAATAGCATCCAAAAGTAAATCAGAGTCCAAGGCAAAATTTTGCTCAACGTTCCAATTTCTTAAGAGAGCCATGTTGGTACATCTGGGAAACCCGAATGTGAAGGCTTCACTATTTTCCCATCCAGTTGAAAGTTCAAGATCTTGCCCCCACACCTATAAGTCCATCACATGATCCAAACTTCCACTGCCATGCTGACAGCTTCCACCCATCCAGTTCTGGTCAGGTGCAGAAACAAAGGATAACCTTGGCTTTCTAGAAAGAATTTTGCTATGGCTACATATCATCTAACTCTGTACAATCCCACCTCCCATTTCCCCACAATAGAAAATGCATAGTAGAATAATGGAAAGTGTGGCAGGCCTGAGATCCACAAGAAAACATGGTTGCAGGGCTGACACTGCTCTTAATTGAATCCTCTTTTCAGGTTTTCATGCAACGTAGAAAAGTTTTACAATTCTTTAATGAGTCAATTCATTACTTTTAATGCAGCTACAAACAGGTTACTTTAATAAATAGCAAAGAATTGTATGCTTGCATAAGTTTCTTTGCTGATTTGTATTTCTTCTTAATCGTTTTATATTTTGTTTATCTGTTTTCAGTGTTAAGGCATAGGCTTTGTTGTATATGTATTGAAACCATCATCCAGACACAAGAGTTAGGGAAATTTTTAAATAATTTAAACAATTGTCTATAAGGATACTGTAGGATGGAAAAATGCTGACATTTGTGGGCATAAAAAAAAGAAAATCTGAAAATAATTAGAATGGGAAATGTACGTATGGCCCTTTAAGTAAGTTTTGAACAGGAGTGTTGCATTTTGGGGGGAATTTTTTTATTTTGAAAAAAATTAGGTAATAATGCTAATTAAATATTTACAAATATGTCAGTTTTTTAAGAATGTAAATATAAAATCACCACTAGGTGGCACCTAATTCTCACACAATATAATTGACACTGTTTTACTGTAGTTGTTACTAGCTGTTAAGAAAACAAATTTAAATGACTGAAAAGATAAATGTCTGCTTTTAAAATGCTGCATTATATTTTTCAGCACTTCTTTTCTGTTAACTAATTTGCAATTATCTAAAATGTTTTGTTATCCTGAAAACAGAACAAAAATTAGAAAGTATTACTTTTTTTTCAGTGGCACAGTAATGTCAAATAACAGAAGTAGATTTTTTTTAAGTAATTTTGTCCATAGTTATTTTTTATATATATGCATCACTTGATCCCTTTCAACAAAAGTACTTATTAAGTACATATTCAAAAATGTAAATGGTCATTTTTATCTGGTCATTTAGCAACCCTCCATTACAGAGCATTGGGGTCAAGCACCTAATTACGTGGGAGATTAGAGCTCTATATATTTTAGAATAAGGCCTTTTCCAGCAATGCCCAAAAGAGCAGTCTGTGTTTGCATTGAGGAAATGCAGCAGCATAAATGGAAAGGCTGTAATTATGCATTTATCTTAATTTGCATTCAGTCTGAAGGAAAAAGAGTTTGCAAAAGAGGAACAA